ATGCCGCAAACTCACCTGTCGTATGAGCCTGTCCTCGACCCCGGTGATCCCATCTCGCAGCTTCTACCGTCGGCGACTGATGAGCAGACGCCGAGTCCCCAAGAGGCGCCGAAGGCGCCTTTCCGCCCGAGGGTAAATCACGTGACACCGGCCCGCCGGCGCTGCCATGGTAACCAAAGACCTCAGGCTGCGAGACGAGCGACGCCTGTCGCGCGTGTCCCGTCCCCCCTCCCCCTCCCCCGGCTCCGTTGGCGGCCCTCTATCCGGTTATCGCGGAGCTCCAACTCAGATGAAAAGGATGCCGGTGCGGTAGTAACAATGGTAAACGTGCACTACGCACTTGCAGTTGCTTCATAAATCATAACCGTGTCCGCTCTTGAGAACATACTTTCTGAGGGAAAGATCAACCAGAAAATGGAATTATCCATCCATGGAATAATGCATGTTCTACATACCCTGGAATTAACTAGGTACGTTGTTCTTAGAATATTCTACCTAACCCGACAAGTTAAGAGTTAAGGGCTATGATTCCAAGATATCATAGTCTCCTCAAATACCTGAAGGTTAGACGTCCTATCACTTAGGACGTCATTTCAGGAGATCCTCTTCTTCTTTCAATGCTCAGTGACTCAGTGACTGAACGAACAGCCCAAAAGTACCTACGTCACGAGCTTGGCTTTCTAGACTTTGGGTCTGTTGACTGTTTCTCATTACCCAACCAAGGCATTACCTCGGTCGGCGGGCATCCAGTCGAACCTTGACTCTTGAGTCGAACTGTGACATAGTCATAGAAGCGCACTGCGCGGAGACCCAGGCAAGCCTTTGGGCTATAGCTCATCAGGTATGCTGCTTTTCTGTAGATGAAATTATCAACCATAGCTAAGCTTCCGATTCTCTTTCCCCATCTTGTTCGCGGTTGGGCACTTCTATTTCGCCGCAGAGCCCCTGTTGAACATGTTAGGTATTTAATAAGCAATGTCTGAGTGGGGTTACGGACAAAAGTACGTATCGCTAAAGTACGTAGGACAAAAGTACGTAAGCAAAAGTACGTAGGATTAAAGTACGTATCGCAAAAGTACGTATATACAGTATAAAGTACGTATGGACAAAAGTACGTCAGGGACAAAAGTACGTATCGCAGAAATACGTACAATATAAAGTACGTATGGACAAAAGTACGTCAAGGACAAAAGTACGTATCGCAGAAGTACGTACAGTATAAAGTACGTATGGACAAAAGTACGTCAGGGACAAAAGTACGTATCGCAAAAGTACGTAGGGTATAAATTACGTATGGACAAAAGTATGTCAGGGACAAAAGTACGTATCGCAAAAGTACGTAGGGTATAAAGTACGTATGGACAAAAGTACGTCACGGACAAAAGTACGTATAGCTAATGTACGTAGGGTAAAAAGTACGTATGGACAAAAGTACGTCACGGACAAAAGTACGTATCGCAGAAGTACGTAGGGTATAAAGTACGTATGGACAAAAGTACGTCACGTACAAAAGCCTACGCATAGCAAATGTACGTAGGGTATAAAGTAGGGTAGCCTTGGGCAAGACGCCACAGATAATTTATTTTGCTACATAGGTACCTCCTTTTGTCTCACAACACCTGGAAGGTCAAATTTGTGCTCAATGTGTTCTTTGGACATTTTACTTTAAATTCCACCCCTCAAATTCATTCACTTATGATCGGACTCCCAGCTAGGAAGTGCTTTGTGAAGCAACTGCAAATGGGGCATTTTCCCCAACCCCAGGGCAAAACACCCCACGGCCTGAGGCAAGAAGCCCCATACACTAGATCAGTGGTCGGCAGGTCATTCGGGGTCGTGCCCCCTTTTTGGGCGCCAGGCAGGGCCATTGCCCCCACCTACCAGACCCCATTGCTGACACAACTATGTTTACTGAAATTCCATACCGTCCTGGAACTCTTTGGGTATTTGTGCATTTCCAATGCATCAAATTTAAAACATGACACTTCCTCCACAAAACATTTAATGCCTATATCCCAGTAGCGGCGGAACACCTTCAATTAAGGGGGAGGGGGGGGGGGGGGAGCACTGCCGACTTTTGGTCCCATTCTTTCCATGGCAACGCCCATAGGGCTAATGTTAAAATGCAAAAATCAAAGGGTGCACGGTGCCCCGGTGCCCTCCCCGTTCCGCCGCCTATGCTATATCCCATTTAACCCTTGTACGTATAGGGGCGGCGGGTGGTTTTTCGTTAAAAGCTCACGTAAAAGACATTGGATCACGACCAAATTGTACCCTCGAGCCCATCATTTTTTTTTTTTTTCACCAGCCCGGAAAATATCATGACCTGAGACCAGTTTTACCAACAGAAAAATAACCGCATGCCGGAATTTTTGCCTCAAGACCGCTTCACATACGGAGCGTAAACGCGATGGGCTCGTAAGCGGATAGGGCTTTACCGTTTACGCTCCATATGTGAAACGATCTTTAGGCAAAAATTCCGGCAGGCGGCTATTTTTCTGTTGGTAAAACTAGCCTCTGGACCCATAATGACCGTTGGCTTATGAGCTTTTTATGGAGATCATCTTGAGCCATAAAATCTCACTTCAAGAAGTTATAGCGGGTCCCGATTTTCTCGACACTTATCATTGCCCTCTTGAATGAGACGGAATGACCAAGGACCTTAAAAATGGGCAGCAGCGGCTTCCTATGGTCACGGGTAGCACGCTCGTCTTTTTTATGCACAGCTACATATCAGAGTCCGAGAGGCCGCGGGGGTCCGATCGACTCCTCCCCCTTACGTTAGTGGCTGTTGAAACGCCAACAGACGGGCGACGGTTAAAAGTTGCAGCTGCTTTTGAACGACTGTACGGAGGGGTGAGATGGTGAGGCGAGCAGGTACATACGTGAAAGTTGGTATCTAATCAATAGTGTGCTGTGCCTTTGGCCTGGGCTAATCTTTGAACCCTGGGATGCAACAGTCACGATGGCTCCATCACTGGAGCTACAAACTCTAAAAAGATAGGCTTTCTCAGAATCCCTCATTACCCCCACCGAAAGGGCTCCATTACCGCCAAAGGGGGCATGCCCCACCATTTGCCGACCCCTGCACTAGATTAACAGAAGAGAGGATCTTTCCCCAGAACCCTGCCAGTTCCGAGAAACATCGGTGAGGCGTTTTACCTCGGCGGGGCGACTTGCCCCGGTCTACCCTACGTGTGGACAAAAGTACGTCACGGACAAAAGTACGTATAGCAAATGTACGTAGGGTATTAAGTACGTACCCCACCCTTGGGTTAAGTTGATCAATGTGTAATACCTTTCTGATTCTTTATTTAATGAGCATTTGTTACAAGGCATAGCAAAATTTATTGATGAGTAAATGGGCGAAATAGACAAAGCTATATTATTTGGTATATGAATTTATCATGAGTTCCCTGTAGTATGGCAACAGAGCAGCAATAAAGAAAAAGTGGTCCAACTTACACGACTATACCCTACTTCTAACATACGTAGGTACTTTATACACTACGTACTTTGGCATACGAACCGTACGTACTTTTGGCATACGTACTTTTTACACTACGTTCTTTTGCATACGAACTTTTGCGTACGAACATTTGCGTACCTACGTACTTTTGGCATACGTACTTTCTACACTACGTACTTTTGCATACGTACTTTTGCGTACGAACACTTGCGTACGTACTTTTGGCATAGGTACTTTATACACTACGTACTTTTGCATACGAACTTTTGCGTACGAACATTTGCGTACGTACTTTTGGCATACGTACATTTTACACTACGTACTTTTGCATACGTACTTTTGCGTACGAACATTTGCGTACATACTTTTGGCATACGTACTTTATGCACTACGTACTTTTTCATACGTACTTTTGCGTACGAACATTTGCGTAGGGTAGCCTGGGGCAAGACGCCCCAGATAATTTATTTTGCTACATAAATTTTGTCCCACATCACCTGGAAGGCTAAATTTGTGCTCAATGCGTTCTTTGGACATTTTACTTCAAATTGCACCCCTCAAATTGATCCACTTATGATCGGACTCCAAGCTAGGAAGTGATTTGTGAAGCAACTGCAAATGGGGCATTTTGCCCCAACCCCAGGGCAAAACGCCCCACGGCCTGGGGCAAGTAGCCCCATACTTTATATTAAAGATTTAACATGGTAGTTGGCTAAATCTTATGTGAGAGGTCCGTTAGACCTCTGGAGGAACGGCACTGAAGTTAGCACATTCCATCCTGTCAGGTGCTCAGCTATGACACTATTGTATGAGCAGGTTTTTCACCTACCTCATAAGACCAAATAATAAATTATTGCAATGCAAATGTAAACAAAATACTTCCTTTGCCATCCAGTTGCTGAGAAAAATACACATAAAGGCATAGAAACTTACTGTTCGCGAGCGAGCTAGCGATACGTACTTTAGTCCTAAAATCGTCTGAGTGTGTGGACTGGATCGATTGATCACAACAGCTGCGCGAAATGAACTAGATGACAGCACTATCGGTATTGCTTTAGGGCAGGTGGCAGCACTTGCTCGTCGCAGCTCTGTGGTGCCACAGTGGCGGAGCAGCCGGCTCCAGACAGACTGTCACTTGACAGGTCAGCGGACGAATTGGGGCGCTCACTGTGCCAATGATATGAAACAGATCTGATTCTCAGATCAAGCGCGAATGACATACTGCTCTCGGATCAAACGCTAATTATTTGTCGGCCCAAATGTGTCATGAACCTTATTATTCCCTTTCACCAATTTTAAGCGAGCTTTGCACGCAGTTGGACCGCATTTAGCACGCCTTTAGGCTTTAGCAACATACTCATTCATAGTACTCAGTAAAGCCCGATCATATTCTAAGTCTCCAGCCCTTTTCACGCAGGAGTGCTCCAGCGTTCCTGCGCAGTGCGCGCCTATTGACAAGCATTCTGTGTCGATGACCTTGGGTCTCTCGTCGGAGCGCAGGTGGCCTTGAAGTGGCGCGGGTCTCCCTCGGCCCCTGCGGCGGGTGGTTGTTGTTCCGCTGCTCCGACGGGCGGGCAGTGCCTCGTCCACCGCTGCCGCGCCAGCCCCGTGTTTGCTGTGAGTCTGTGTTATCGGTTGGGTATCCGCCCTTGCGCTAGGGGGTGACCTCAGCACGTATGTCGAGTATCGGTCGTCTGGGGGTTATGTAACGCGGCGCGGTACGTGGGAATTGGTCAGCCAGAGCTGTCGGTGACCTGTGCCGTAGTTTGGGGCCCGGGTGTAGTCAGCTGGTCAGGAAGCAGTGGTGTGTGTTTGCGCAAGCAGCTACAAATGGGTGAGTACAAAAGGGGCTACACCTAGGGGCAATGCTAATAGGTAAGGGAAACGTGCCCTTGTTGGCCTCAGAACTGACCATGACTTTACAAAATGTGAGTTGCATAAGCTCTATCAGCATCCGATTTGTTCTGTGTGGTGTAGACCTCATCTCTGCGCTGATCTCACCCTGTCTGACCCCGTGGCTGACCGGCTGTATGCCTCCGGCAGTGCTGACTCCTGCGGCGATGCGTCGGGCTGTCTGGATGGTCGCCGCCGCGGCCGGGGTGGTGGCCGGCGCGGCGGCCGCGCCCCAGCTGGCCCCGGGCCGGCCCGTGCTTGGTCTGCTGCCTGCGGGCACCGTGCTCCTGCCCGGACTGAGACTGGCGCACACCTCACCCGTACCCAGGTGAGAGCAGAGCACGGCTCGCCCGGTACAGTGCAAGGATGGGTGACGGGTCAGTGCTAATCAATTTGGAGACAAATGCGAACCGGGCACGGTATGATGTTGAATGATAATAGCTATCGTCGAAAGATTCTCTTGCATTCGGGTGCTAGCCATGAAGCCCCGTTGTGTCCCGCGCCAGTGACGGTCGCCACCTATGCCCCGTGCCCCTAACCGTCGCTCCCCTCTGACCCCTGTGACCCGTGCCGCAGTGTGGCGGCCGGCCCCGCGCCGGTGACCCCAGAGCCCACGGAGCGGGTGCTGTGGAACTTCACCGTCCCGGGCGCCACGGTGGACGGCTGGACCGAGTCGTCGGACGGTACCGCTCGTCAGGCCGGCATGTCGACCGGAGCGCTCAAACTGCAGGTGGGGACAGCGATGGAGGTGCCCCGGGCGTTCCGGGGACGAGGGGTCTGTGTGGTAGCGCGCCTGAAATGCTCTGATTAACGGCGACCGAATGGAGACAACCATTTGTCATATTGCGATTTGTTGTCAGTCTTCTTGAGTGAATTTCTGAGCGACCTTAGTTTGCACAAATTTGTGATGCACGACCAGCCTCATGGTTAGCTGAACATGAACCTAAAGACAGAAACACTGTTATATGGTCGTCTCGTAACACCACTGAACACTTCTAGGGCCCCCTATCTAGTGGGAGCTCGTGTGCAAAGCCTCGAGATGACTTGTCTGACCATTGCACAATGAGACTGCTGAGTTCTCACTGCCTGACATGACCTGCCGAGTGCCGACCCTCCACTGACACCCTCCCCCCTCTCACACCCGCAGAAGACGGCCCGGTTCCAGCGGGCGGTGATGTTCTCACTGCTGAACCCGCAGCCGAACGGCGCCGGATTTGTTGGCTTCGTCACCACCGGCAACTGGGACCTCTCGCAGTTCTCCGCCATCCGACTGAGGGCGCGCGCTCAGGGCGAGAACTTCCACTACAAGGTCTACCTCAAACATCACGGAGAGGGCGCCTCCGTCGGCGGCTCCTACGAGTCCTACTTTGAGGTGAGCAGTTGAGGAGGAGCGCGCTCTGCTGGGTCCGATTTTCGAATTTAATAAAAGTGATTTAAGCAGAAGTCAGTACCCATTCACCATATGTACAAGAGAATTAGTACTCAGTAGCACTTGGAATTATCTGCAGTCACTAAATTACCAGTGCCATCTGCCAGTGATCAAGCTAACCACTAGCGGATTCCTTGGACGGACGCAGACACCGCTTCAACAACGCTAGACAAGTGCTTGGGGCTTATCCAATTTTCCTCAGTTTAGCGAGCACATCGGAGCGCGGCTATGCTTGTTCTGCCTATCACCGCCAGTGTGAGACACTGAACTGACTGTCCCCTCCGCTGCCGCTCAGATGCCGCCGGGTCAGCTGACCACGGTCACCATCCCGCTCGACTCGTTCGCCTTCTACTACCGGGGCCAGCTGGAGCCGGACGCGCCGCCGCTCGACACGACAGACATCACCTCGTTCGGGCTGCAGATCTACGGCGGTGTCTACTCCGAGTTCAAACAGAGCGGAGTCTCCTCGCTGGAGATCGACTGGATTACGGCTGCGTAGGGCGCGGGGCAGGAGCGGTCGGAGGTGACCCGGGCTGAGACGTGGTCAGGGCAAGTGGGGACACCTTAGACGGACGGTGTAATGATCAGAAAGTGGTCACGACCATTTATGAAGTGGTCACGGTCATTTATGAACTTTGCTTTATTTGTGGTGGTGGAAATGGCCTCGGCGTGTCTGAGGCAGGACGCTTGAATCGTTGTGGGAAGGGTTGAAATCAGGCTAGCATTGGCCAGTACGTGTTTTATTTTTTATCTCTGAACAACATACCACCATAGCTTTCTTCATTCATGATGTTCTTTTTTTATAGTGAACAATGTTGGCGTGAAACGAAATAAATCGAAGACGAAATATAGTATAAGGTACCTATTTAAGGTTCGTCGTTACAGTCAGCTTATGCAATGAAATTAGTATGGATTCATTGCATGCTAATTGAGGGACCCCTCGCAGCATGCCTGCCGCCGCTACGAAGGGGTCCCTCATGAACACATTCAGCGCTCTGATACGCGACATGTGGACATCCTCGGACGAAACGGAGCGGGTGCTCACCACCGCACCACTCAAGTCGATGATCCAACGGCTCGCGCCGCGCTTCATGGGCTCCCAGCAGCAGGACGCGCAGGAATTCCTCAGATATCTGCTGCAGGGACTTCACGAGGACGTGAACCGGGTGACGAGCCGGCCAAAGCCGATCACGACCGACATCGACGACTCACTGAGCGCCAGTCAAAAGTCAATGGAGGCCTGGAAACGTTTCTTGCGCCTGGAAAACTCCAAGTTTGTTGACCTGTTCGTGGGCCAGCTCAAGGCTACCCTGCGGTGCACGGTATGTGGCCACGCATCGGTTACCTTCGACCCGTTCTGGGATCTGAGTCTGCCAATCCCGTCACGAAGTGGCCAGGTGCGCCTACAGGCCTGTTTTGACCTGTTCACCAAAGAGGAGGTGCTCGATGGCGACGAAAAACCGACCTGCTCAAAGTGCCAGAAGCGCCAAAAGTGCAACAGAGGCCTCTCGATCCAGAAGTTCCCTCGTATCTTGGTGGTCCACCTGAAGCGGTTCTCGCCGCAGGAGAGGTTCCGCGGGAAGCTGAACACCACTGTCGACTTTTCGGTGAACGGCCTGGACCTGTCGCCCTACTCGGCCGGACAGACGCCCTGCCGGTACAGCCTATACGGCGTGGCGAACCACTCTGGCACGCTGCTCTCAGGACATTACACCGCTCACTGCCGACACCCGTACACGGCAGAGTGGTACGAGTACAACGACTCGCGGGTCCACGTGATGGACCAGAGAAACGTCAACAGCGGAAAGGCTTACGTGCTGTTCTTTGAGCTGGCCGGCTCGAAACACCGCTCCGGCTCGACCCACGTCTAGTCATCCAGTCACGGGAGAGGAGCCTGCGATCGTCACCCGCTCGGGCCCTGTGTAGTCACACCGACCGGCGCACATTCTGCTCGGACAACTCTAGCCAGCGGCCTATTGTGATTTGTGATATTGCGTGTAAGGTGTTGTGAAAAACCAGAACAGCCTTTGGATCTCACTGAAAACATTGGCAATTCAATTAGTATGGATCATTGGATGCAAATGGATAGCAGCCCGAATGAATGTTATCCCACATTACGTTTAAAATCGTATTTCGAGATAAACTGAGGCCACTGCCTACATGTATCCGCCACGTACCTATATTGGCAAACAGCGCTCAATCGCCACACGTAACAGATCCCATACGCATCACGTCCAACACACACCATACAAAGCTCATAGAAAACAATTGGCAACACCTCTCACTATTCAACACTTCTGCGGCAGTGATCGCTCCAGAGTCTGAGAATCCCCCTGTTTCCTCAACCTAGAATTGGAGCCGACCATCGATCGACCAGGGACCACTAACCTCAGTTCGAGCTGCCGCTCGACCGGCGGGACCCCGCCGTGGCTCTGAGATACCGCGGAGGGCGGCCAGGGCTGAGGTACCGATCCACCGTCCCACTCACGACTCGGGACGGCCGGTGGACTGCCAACAGCGGGCGGGCAGCGGCACAGCACCACCAGGGCTAGTGTAGGTTCACAGCTGCGGTGGCGGACCAGCCTGGACCGGTAGCGGAACTCACTTTTCACCCAGCAGCTCAGCCGTCTTGGTCTTGAGCATGGCATCAGCGTCGGCCATGTACTGGTGCGCCATTGCCGTCACCTGGAAAGGTGGGGCGTGGCATGAATTCATAGGCTATTAGAGTTACTTAGAGAGAGGGGGTGCTACATGAACTATGTCCCTCTAATAACATAGATCGGCCTAAAATCTCATCCCGAAATCGGTAAGACGTGCGCTAGAAACAGACGTGAGCTAAACGAACGGAAAGCAGCCGGGCGAGACCTCACCTGGTTTTGTACACTGTGCACCAGGTCCTCGGAGACGTGGTCGACCTTCTTCAGCGCCCTCAGCTGGTTATTCTGCACCTCTTTCAGCTTATCCTTGGCGGTGTTACACGCCATCTTGGCACCTTTCACCAAACTCTCGCGGTGCTCCTTCGTTACTCTGGAAGGAAATAAAAGCTATGTTTAACCGAATTGTAGAAAATACCAAGCGTGAAGACGTGGGACAAATTACTTGCATCAGGAAACTTGTGGATGATGTAACGAGGACATTGAGAAGGCAAATGGTACTATCCTGACTGGAGGTTTCGGTAAACAAAATACCCTGGTGAGTGGAAAATATCTATAAATAAATATGATTTTTGACGTTGGTTTCGGTAAACAAAATACCCTGGTGAGTGGAAAATATCTATAAATAAATATGATTTTTGCCGTTAATAAAATACTAAATCGGCCAACACCCATTCTTTCAACCTCACCAGCTTCCAGCTCTCCATCCCTTCCACCCCTTACTTTGGTATTTGTACGTAGACGGTGGTGCCCTCCTGCTGCGGGTTGAGACCCATGCCGGCGGACTGGAGCGCGTGCACGATGTCGCCCACCGCCTGCGGGAAGGCGCTGCTGTTGATGACGATCAGGGTGGCCGACTTGCGCGCCACCTGGGCCAACTCGTTCAGCGGGTAGTGGTCGCCCTCAAACGGCACCGACAGCGTCTCGATACTGCCTGCAACAGACCGGGGCATGGGCTCAGTCCGGTGGGGGTGGACCATACCGGGGTGGGATGGGGTCCAGTAACTCAGAGTTAGGCTTCGCATTCCTCAGAGAGGGCCAACATCGGCTGTGCCGTAGATCAATTGTAAAACACCACATCCAGGGCAAGGATGGGAGGACCAGGCAAGGAGTCGGATTCCAGTCGCTCTGGCGCTTACATACCGATTCCGGGGGCTGTCAGGGTTAAAGGAGCACCGGTGCAGCTACATCAGCCACCTGGAGTTAGTGGGCGAGGAGGCGATGTGCACTGCATAAGCGGAAAAGGGGCGCTTTAACGTTCACTGCTGAATTATCCCGACTTCCTGGATTTTTTTTTCGATCTTAATCTTAAGATAGCGCTCAATGATTTCAAAACAAGTTCCAACCAACAAAAAAAAACTGACTACGTTCGTCACTTTTTTATATAAAAAATGAACAATCTTACTCTAACCGCGACCTCCGACCAGTCCCCCTGCCTGTACGGTGTTCAGCTCACCGATGGATGTGCGCACGGAGAACTGTTTGATAAAGCCGTCCCGGAGCCGGTCGAGGACGGCGTCCAGCCGACCGCGGAATGCCTCCACGTCCATCAGCTCGGCCATCTCCGACTCGTCCACCTTCACCGCACCCTTCTCTGGCGGCAGGGGGTACCGGGGCGCGGTGAACGCAACGGCACGGGTACCGGGGCGCGGTGAGCTCGACGGCACGGGTACCGGGGCGCGGTGAACGCAACGGCACGGGCGCCGGGGCGCGGTGGGCACGATGGCACAGGCACTCTGCGACTGATATAAAGCAAGGTGTTGAGACTGGTAACAGCAATCAGCTACACTTCGTCCTACTAGATTTAACCTATTTGCTGGACATCTGGTGGACCTGAATCCTTCATATTTCTGCCTTTCAACTTACTTTTTTCTTTCTTCTTATCCTTGCCCTTGGCATAATCAGGTGCTGAGAGTGTGATTGACCGTACTCCTGACCGTTGAATAGCCAGACGTGAGACATCAACACACGCCACAGCAGAGGTCGGCAGTGGCACCCTGATGTGCCTGGGATGGCAGGCATGCAGCAGCCGGGCATAAGTCAGCTGCTGGCATCCCCGTGCCAATGTGACTCGTCCACAGGGCACCAACATCTGCAACCGAGAGGTTATCAATATAAAGCTGGATGCTTGAGGTGGGGATGGAAAATGTTCGCGAGCTTTTAGGACACTTATGCACCAAAGAACTGTTTGATTCAGCCAGCAGAATATTGAGAGCTTAAGAAGTCTAGCAAACAAAATTTGAATTAATGACAAGAAACAAAAAATACTTAAACAGAGCATTATTCAAGGCTCAGAATATGCAACACTGAACGATTAATTTGTACATACTTTTATATTGATATACACCTTCAGTAAACTCATGAACTAGACCAGCTAGACTCACCTGTTAGACTCACCTGTTAGGTTTCCACGTCCCGTCCAATGCATGGGGATGGGAAGGAAACCAAGAATGGCAGAGACGCGCCAATACTCCCACGGTAAGATGGAGTAAGGTACACGTGAGAGCTGGAATAGTGCGTCTGCTAACAGATATTCGGGAATGTGACACAGGATTTAATTGAGACATTGCTCGTTGTCTGCCTGGACTCGATGAGCTTCACATGGTGGACTACTTGCTTGAAGCTTCCACCGTGACGCCCTCATGCGTCATATTCAAACAGTCGGCTGCCTAGAGCTTCTGCCAGGCTTGTCTTGAATTCGGATATGAATTCCGAGTTAACGACCTGATTGGGTAGAGAGTTCCATTCGCTGACAACTCTCTCCGAGAAGAAACGCGCCCTGGTATCGAGCTGACAGCGACGAGTCTTGATCTTGTACATGTTGCCTCGGGTGCGATGGTCGGTTGCAATGTCCCAGAGATCTGCCGGTTTTATCGGACAGCGTCCTCTGAATATTTTCCAGCATTTTATCAGATCTGCCCGCAGTAGGCGTCCCTTGACAGAGTACAGGTTGAGTGATCTGAGCCGCTCTTCGTAGGTCTTGCCCTTCAGGTCCTTGACGTGACGAGTCCAGAGTCTTTGCACTGCCTCGAGTCTCTTAGAGTCTTCAACAAAACCAGTGTTCCACACCACCGACGCGTACTCAAGGACAGGGCGAATATGTGTACTGAGGACATGAACCATGAAGTCCGGCTCTCTACAGAGGGTAGCTCTCAGAAAGTTGTGGGCAACTCCACCCGCCTTCCTTGCTGCACCTCTTGCTTGCCCATGGAACTTCAGGTCGTCATCGACAGTGACTCCCAGATCCACATGGGAGTGTGTCCAGGGAAGCAGTTCGTCCTGCAAGAAGTAGGTGGGTCTCAGCGGCGCATGGAATCGTCTCTGGAACCTCATGACGGCGCATTTCTTCAGGTTCATGCTCAGGCCCCATGATGATGCGGTTGTGTGCAGTACGTCGACATCAGACTGAAAATTCGACATGTCGATCTCAGGTTTGGTGATGCACATGTATACCTTCAAGTCGTCCGCAAAAATCTTGTACTGACACCTGAGCTGGGTCGCTAGATGGTTTATATAGATAAGGAAGAGCGCTGGTCCCAGGATGGAGCCTTGCGGCACGCCACTGCGCACACTTCTTGGGGTGCTCAGGGTGCTCTTCACCACCACCCGCATGGTACGGTCCGTGAGGAATTCTTGCAGCCATGTCAGAATGGTTCCTCGAAGACCGATGCACCTGAGCTTCTCGATGAGGACGACATGGCTCACTGTGTCAAAGGCCTTGGAGAAATCATAGAGAATCAGGTCTACAATGTGCCCGTCATCCCACTGCTTTGATATATAGTCATAAGTGAGAAGAAGCTGGTCTTCGGTTGATCGTCCCGACCTGAATCCGAACTGTTCGTCTGCAAGAATTGAGTTTTCTGTCAGGAAATCGCGCAGTTCACGATAGATCAGACGTTCCAGGCACTTGGATGGTACTGATAGGAGGCTCACTGGGCGATAGTTAAGGGGGTCGAGACGACACCCCTTCTTGTAGATGGGCACAACGTGTGATAGTTTCCAGAGAGCAGGCAAGACTCCCTCTGACAGTGACAGCTTGAAGATCCGGTGCAGTGGTTGTGCTAGCTTCGAAGCGCAAGCCTTTAGCAGGTGAGGGTGAAGACCATCCGGCCCCATGGCGGAGTTGACGCACAGTTGGGAGAGTATTGTCCTGACGTCTTCTACTGTGAACTCAACATGTTCAAGTATCGCGTCACATGACTGGTGAGAAGCTGGGTTGGGTAGATCCTGATTGGAGAACGTTTCAGCAAACGCCTCAACAAAAACATCTGCCATCGACTTCGGGTCGTCGATGATCGATCCCGAAGGCGCCTTCAGCGGTCCGACTGATGACCTGCATTGTTTCTTGTGGCGCAGATAGGCATGGAGCAGTTTCGGGCTTTCTTTCAACTTAGACAAGAGAGTCTTCTCGTAGTCGATCTGCGAGCGAACGGCAAAGTTGCGGAGTTGTTTATTTACGCCTAAGAAATCATTCAGTCGTGATCGGGTTGTTGGCGCTTGCTTGCCGTAGGATGCTCGGGCTTGTTTGTATGCTGACCAGGTGGATGCTCGTCGACGTTTGAGCGAAGAAGGTGGGTTGGTTTTCCATGGGACCCGGCGAGCCTTTCCTTGCTTGGCAGTTGGTATCAGTTGAGATATCAGTGGGCACAAGATGTCCATCAATCTCTTGAGTGCTTCTTGCGCAGTGAGGAATTGGAATTCGAAATCCCAGTCTATGTCTGCCAAGATGGCATTCATGTCTCCATATCTCCCTCTTTCCCATAAGAGGTGATGGAGCGAGGTGTGTTGCAATGCGATTTCAACATCAAAGAAGTACTGACAGTGGATGCTGCAGTGGTCACAGCCAGGAGGAGGAGCTTGGACCGACACCAGCCCCATTCGATCGTTCTCGTTTGTTAAGATCAAGTCAAGAATGTTCCCCGAGCGTGGGAATGTGGGCTCCGTGACCCACTGCGTCAAGCCGAGCAGATCGAACAAGTTGCTGAATCGGGTGTCAGATGCTGAGGCGTGTCTCGTCGGGTCGTCAGGTGAGCTCCAATCTATAGTAGGGAGATTGAAATCGCCTAGGAGCACGGCTTCCTTGTCGATGCAGCTACTTGTGAGAAATGATTGGAGGCAGTCATTGTCAGCAGCTAAGTATGAAGGGGGCCTGTACACCACGTAAATGTATGTGTCGAACCTGGTCATGCGGAATGACAAGACATTGCGGAATGAAGCGTTGACATTGTCGATTTGAAGATGTTCAGCCACATAAGCCGCCACTCCGTGAGCTTTGGTCGTTCCGCTGTCATTTCGCATGAGCTTGTACCCCGGAATTTGAATTGCTGCGTCGGAAACCTCCGCTGTAAGATGCGTCTCAGAAACCAGGAAGATGTCCGTTGAAGAATCAAGCTGAAGTGTGTCTTGGAGAGAAGCTATCTTGCTGCAGAGCCCATTCACGTTACAATGTACAATGCTAATGGGGTACGTGTGCGACGTTTTTTCATTCTGCCTCAGTTTCCCAGCTGAGCGCGATCAGAGGGAGCGTCGGGTGGGCTTTCGCCCTGTGCGGGTCCGTTCAGTGGAGGATCAGAACCTGTGACATTGTCCCTGGCCGAGATGTTAGGGCCGGCGGACGTGGAGACGGCATCAGAGTCGGCATCGGTCGTAGGGTGGTCATCTCGCGGCTGTGAAGGAGCTTCTGCCGAAGGTTCCGTTGGTCGTTCTGTGGTGGGCGGGGTGGGTTCCAAATGGGCTGGACCTCCCACGGATCTGTCACCTCCAGACGAGCCATCCGCTGGTGCAGGGCTGGGCGGAGGAGAAGACATGCGCCGAGGCTGTCCAAGGACTGGAATCGTGATGGTGGTCTTGGGTCTCGTCTGGTACTCCCGGTATCTGGCCTGGATCTCCATTCGCTGGAGGTAGGTGAGATCCTTCTTTATGTAAACGTGAGAGAAGGGAGAGTCTTTGAGCGTCTTCGCCTGCTCCAGGATGATCTTCCTCTGACGATTGTTGTGAACGTTCCCGCGGTACAGGTCGGCGTTGTTCTTGATACGACATGTTTCAGAGAGGACGACTTTCTCCCCAATGAGAGATTCAGTGACCTCCGCAAATTTTGCAGTAGCTTCTGCAGTTGATGCTGCTCTTAGTCCCCTGATCACAAGAGACGACCTCCTCTTCTTCCGTTCATCCAGCTCTAACAGCTCCTCTCGAACCATCATCCTGTACTCCTGGGTGTGGTGGTGCTGTTGGTTCGACTGGGGTTGGTGGCTTGTTGACATTTCCTGGGTCAGTGTGTGGGCTACAGGACCCTGCCTTGGAACCCTAGAAGTTCTAGAAATTCCTGTCAGCGCATCTGCATATGTGTGCCCAGTACCTTCCCTTTCTGTGTGGGGAGACTCTCTGATTTGAGAATGGGTGTTGCTGTTGAGTGCCTGTATCTGGTTAGACATATCAGTGATGTGGGTCTTGAGAGTTTTTTCCAGACTGTCAACTTTCCTGAACAGCTGTGACAAGGCGCCGATATCGGACAAACCTTCAGTGGTCACGCTTTCACATCCAGAGTCCAGCTGCAGAGATGGCGTCAGCAGGGTGCTTGTGACGCCCTCGTCCTGCGAGGCCTGTGTGGCTGCGTCCTTCATGGGTGCTCTTGGCTGGAATTTGTCCAGGTTTGGCATTCTTTTGCACATGCTGCAAATGAATGAAACAACATCATGCTTCTTCAGAGCATTGTACGCACTTTTTGAGATGTCTTGGCACAGAGCATGGAACCAGCTTTGGCATATGTCACATTTTGCCCCTTGTTGGTTGTCCTTAACTTCAAGATTGCATGTTGGATTTCCTGGTCCCCCTCCACATATGACACTTGCATCAGCTGGGTGCCGAGCTATGGTGGGGGACACAAGTGTGCCAACCTGAAGTGGAAGGGTCATAATAGCAGCCGCTACTGTGCCAAGAGATTCTTCCCCTGAAGATGGGTTTATCTTTGTTTGTTGTGATTGTGGGGTTGAGTCAATGGGCTGTGAGGTCTGGATGTTGTGCTGTAGTGGTGCATCCATGTCAGGCTTAACTGGTGTTTGGGTATCTGAAGTGCCGGAGGTAGATCGTGTGCTGATCCTCTGCTGATCTGACTAGCGGTTTGGCAGTGGGGATCTTGGGACAGGCATTCTTGAAGTATACGAGCACAGCAGTCAGCAATATGTGTGATCTGTGGTCTAGCAAACAACTAAGCGTATATACAGCTGAAGCACTGGCAGTCCACAGGCAGATACGAGCAGGTGTCGCAGGAAGTTCAGATCCACTCCTGGCTAGGACAGACACACTGACGTGCATGGAACGGACAACATAAACATGCTAAGGACGGACAGCATGGACATGCGAAGGACGGACAACATGAACATGCATGGACAGACAAGAACTCCCAACCAGGTGAGTAGGCTGCATGCAGTGTTGAGGCCTGAAGATGTTCACCAGATATGTATCTTGATTTTTATTTAGCAAGATTAAATTTTTAAGCAAGCAAATTGAAATCTTGATCTCATACAGTTCTTCACAGCGCCGGCGTGTCTTTTCCTTATATTTGATTGTTGTTGATTAGCCCTCGACCTTCGTCCATGTTCCATTCAGGGTACTCGGTCATAAGACATAGACAAGCTATGTTGAGCTATGTATTTACTTTTTTAAATATCAATACCCAAGTATATGCATGTGTGTGACACAATAGGCCATACAAATAAATGACGTCAAACAAAAAAACTGTAATTCGACTGAACTCAATTTAATATTTACTGATTTAGAGAAAATGAAGCCGACATGTGTAATCAATACACATATTCATAACTTTTTAAAAGACATATCAGTTGTTTTGAAGTGCATTTGGTAAAATTCAACAGCGATTAAAGTTCGTTTTTCAATTTATTTATGACGTAATTTGTCTCTTGATATTTCAAACTCAGTATTCTAACTAATGAGATACGGTTTGGCGGTTTTGTTTCGTTTGTGTGGCGTGGTGATGATTGCACCGTGGATGATTGTGTGTGGATGAAAAGGGTTGGGTACGTCAGTAATTGGGATAATGTGCTTATGTTTATGATTTTATCATTATGACCTGATATTTCAATAATTGCTGTAAATCTATGGGTTTGTTCCCGTCGCTCCTCTAACCTCCTCCAAGCTCCTCTAACCTCCTCTCGTTTCAAAAAATCGTTCCCGTCGCTCCTCCAAGCTCCTCCAAGCTCATCTTGATTTCACATCTTGAGTAAAGCCACAGTAAAGCCCTGGTGACGTCACAGACGTTTCTTAAATGGAGAATTTCGCCTATAAGAAAAATATTTTACAAACGAAAATTTGTGTTCTATTAGGAAAAAATACAATCTTTCAATTTCATCATGAAACTTATATAAATTAATTACAAAACTTGAAATCCTGTGAGTGTTTGTCCCAACCCCCTGCTATACCTTTGGTCACGTGACTGCCATGATAAACTTTGCGTTTTGCAATGTTATGACTAAAACTTTAGTAATAAATGTTACACGTGTATTATTTATGATGTCTTAGGCAGCAATCGTGTAATTATATTCCTAAAATATATACAATCTGTTGAAAAGAGGTCACGTGATGTTACCAAATTGTGCTCGGACAGCATCTTCTTGAACTTCGATTTTGAGTACTTTGTACCTTCATTGAGGCCTAATAACTGACGTTTTTAGTTATGAAATGAAGCAATGAAGCTAACGAGGGCAAAATTTAATCATTTTTGCACTTTCAGGCCGGGCTATCCTGGCATGAACTTCAGCCAGTTTGTGTGTTAAGCCTATGGTGAAGGGAAAACTTCACGCCCGGCTGACGTCACAGACCTCGGCTACCAAATCGTGTCCGGTGGGGGTCGGTTGCTGCTAAAGCCCTGCGCCTCCAGGCCAAGGCCGTATAAGTTAGGTAAGATCGTCCGGGCTCGCTAATGTTACAAATCTGCAACACTACGGTGACGTCACCGGCGCATACGCTCCCTGGCTCCATCCTGACCCTGATGCGGCGGCTGGAATCGCTGCTAATCGAAAAATTACTTGTGCAATAGCGCTTTTAAATGACTTTAAAAAGGGGGAAAATATGATAACAAAATAATTATGAGAATCCCCTGTCCCGACTTGGATCGTACGACCCCGCCACCTAGCGGACAACGCCGTAATTAGGGTTGAGTTGGCGATCTCCAGGTGGCTCGTCACTCGTCAGCTGTCAGCCGCAGGCAGGCGAGGGCCGGCAGGCGCTTAAGTTATGTTAACGCCAGGTCATGCTCAGGAAAATGCGACATGCTTCATAACGGTCATTTATCTCGAAAAAGATGCGGTGCCCTGTGGTGCTATGGCCCACATGACTCGGGACCCGTGAGGCCCCTGTAGTCACCAGCAGCTCCCAAGGCTGCTACGGACGCGATACCGCAGATACGTACTCCGAAAATTGCTAGACAAAGGACTGCGATGGAGCCTGGAGGAATGCATTGCAAGGACTATGTTTTGGTTTATGTTCCTGTGCGTAATCGCGGGGCTATCGGTGTTAGGGTCCCGGGGGCCAAAGCCATGCGGGCAACTGGGGTGTATCTGGATGGTGAATGGTGATGATATCGTGTTTTTGTTCGGCCACATGGGCACAATAACGAAAGCATTGATTCACTCCGTCCGAAAGCCTAGGTACCGAACCAATTAAGAACCACCAACAGATGTATTCCATGACAGGAAACAAAACGACCCCAACACTGCTCGCGCATGTCTATCCAATATCCATCCAGTGAGGGAGCACATGTGGTCCGTGTCCCCGCACACACGGGCACACAGACGATGGGTAACGCAACCACGAGTCGGCACAACGCAATCACGAATGGTTAACGCAACCACGAGTCGGCACAACGCAATCACGAATGGTTAACGCAACCACGAGTCGGCACAACGCAATCACGAATGGTTAACGCAACCACGAATGGTTAACGCAACCACGGGTCGGCACAACGCAATCACGAATGGTTAACGCAACCACGAATGGTTAACGCAACCACGAGTCAGCACAACGCAATCACGAATGGTTAACGCAACCATGAATGGTTCACGCAACCACGAGTCGGCACAACGCAATCACGAATGGTTAACGCAACCACGAGTCGGCACAAGGAGCAAGAGGCCAAGCCGGCAGCTCGCGTGATCACGCCCTGGGTCCGCGCCTCAGCCGGGGTAGGCTCACCGTGCCATCGCCGAACTGGATGACCATCGTGGAAGAGTTCGAGGTCATCTTCCGGTTGATGATGGGTGCTACCGTCGACGGTCAGTCCGGTATCGTGCAGAGGCTGCTGGCGGCACTCCAGGTAAAGCGTCCATCTCTGGACGCCAGGATCGCGAGGAAGCTGGTGACGACGCGGGTCCACCTTCGGATCCGCTCACTAAACCAGCGCCAGGACGAAGTCGTAAGCACAAGTGATCCGCTCCTCGCGTAGGCCGGCCTGGCTCCCAGTGATGGTGCGCCGGGAGCTGCTCGCTGCCCGGCTGAACTGTCTGACAGCCTCAGAAGACAGAAAGTGACGGCGCTCTCCACACTGGCGAGTGATGCCGGGGTAAAGATGTCGGCACTGGACGCCGCCGGCAGACGCAGTGCGTTCTCCACCTGATTCAGCTGCTTCCTGCCGATTTACCTGAAACAAAGTCAAGTGAAATCAATGATCCTTCTTACCTAAGTGGTGGCCTGAGCTCTGCAATACGTGGACGTATCAATGGCCACAAAATCTATCTAATTAAGGTGCTGTTTAAATAAAGATAGAATTAATAGTGAATAGTGATTGTTGAAATGGCGACGGTCGGTGAGCTTAAACTAATGTTAAGTGGGAAACCCCAAAATTTAGTGTGTACAGTCTGTCTTAAAAGTACCGCGCAAAGTGGCGGTGGATCCATCAAGCCTTACCGAAGAAAGGCCTGCTTTAATTTAAAAGTCACCGAACCAATTGACCTGAGGAATGGACGAGAATATCAATTGCTTCGATGACTCAAATTAAGCAGGCCCTCCCTCGGTCAGGCTTGATGGATCCACCGTCACTTTGCGCGGTACTTTTAAGACAGACTGTACAATATCTTAGCGCGAGCACCACTTATCGTAACAACACTGCTCGCTGGGAGCACTACTAAACGATTGGTCTAGCGGAAAGGAGGGTCGGTAGACACTTCAACTATTCTGACTCTCCGGAATTTTACTGATTACCAAAGTCAAGATATAGCATGCAATCCGTCCTGTTTAACGCCAACTCCGATTTCGACTATTTGTCCAATTGAACTGGGCGCAATAAATAGACACATTCAAGTGCAAAACAAAAATAGGAGAGATAATGCAGACATTACACTCATAGAGCTGGTTACAATGGCTTGATTACCATGACGATTGAAGACGATTGAATGATAGCGATAAAAATGTCGAGCAAGTCGAAAAGAAATAAATGCAGCTCACCACTCCGGACGTGCTGGCGGACTTGCTTGGCGGCGCGTCTCTCGGCTGCGACTTCGTCCTGGCGCTGGTTTAGTGAGCGGATCCGAAGGTGGACCCGCGTCGTCACCAGCTTCCTCGCGATCCTGGCGTCCAGAGATGGACGCTTTACCTGGAGTGCCGCCAGCAGCCTCTGCACGATACCGGACTGACCGTCGACGGTATCACCCATCATCAACCGGAAGATGACCTCGAACTCTTCCACGATGGTCATCCAGTTCGGCGATGGCACGGTGAGCCTACCCCGGCTGAGGGCGCGGACCCAGCTGGATGGGACTGAGCTGGGCGGAGCTTGGTCTGTAGTCTGTCCCAGCCCAGCATCCAGGTGGCGGCACTTGGCCGCGACGAAGCCAGCGACAAACGCAAGGGCCTCCCGTTCCAGGCGCTCGTCTCCAGCTGTCGCAGATTCCGACTGGAGAGGCGTGACCTCTTCGTGAGATGAAGATGGAGGAGCGGCTACTGCCTGGTAGGCTCCTTCTGCTTCGTTGTCCTCACGTGCCGCCAGTTCTTGGTCCGGCTCTTCAAACTGGAAAAGTTGAGAACTGTCAAAGCTGGAAATGGATGCAATGATAGTACGAATGCCAAATCAGCTATATTTGGCAGTTGGCACTGCATGCCTAGACATTGCCGTTTTTTGTATGCCTGCACGATTATGCATAAAATGAGAATCTCTACTATAAACTTAAAATATTACTTTAAAGCAGTGCTTAATAATAAGATAGAATCATATGATCCTCTATTTGCAAAATTTCATACGTTCCAAGGGCGTGGAGGATAGTAGACATGTAGCAATTCAGGCAGTGCCCCCAGCTGGTAGGTCTAAGTACCTGAATGAGCAGGCCCTCCAGGGCCTCGTTGGAGACGCACGGGAGCTGCTGCGGTGCGCGGCTCGTCGACATTAAGTCGCTGGGTTCCAGCTGCAGTACTGCTCGACCGCTGGAAGCAGCCACCTGTGGAGCCGGCGCCATTAGCAGCACTTTCAGGCGGGAGCGCACTTCTACCGCGTTGGGCGTGGTATTCGCTCCACCCAGGCTCCGGATCTGCGAAAAGCAGTTCTCTAAGCAATCTTGGTTCAGGTGGCTGGTCAGGACAAACTGCAGCTCGGGCACAGTACGATGGAGCTCTTCGTACAGCCCACGGAGAGATACTGTGGTTCGTAGCATTCCCTGCTGGAACGGCAGCATGCTCCGATGACCGTTGGGGTGCTTTGCAGACGTTTTACGAGTGTCGGAGATCAGAGACGTCATCTTGTCCAGGGCCCGGTCCTGGACCGCTTTGATTTCAGCAGTCCTCCCATAGGCGGACCGCTCGATTGTGGCGTCGAACTGACTCCGGCTGTTCAAAACGTCAAACCACGCATTGGCCGTCAAGACAGCCTCGGCCTGTGGTTGGCGGCGCGGCAGCAGCTCCTTGATGGCGGTGCCCACCGTGTGCGAAAAGAGCTGCGTGGCCAGCCGGACCCGCTGGCTCACCTGACCGGTGCCCTGCAAAACAATGTTGACAACATATTATTGCATTTTCACGTTA